GGTGTGGTGGCAACTCTGAGGGTGCCTTAGCAGGATTTAAGCCCTCTTGAACCCCTCTCCCTTTGTGTTACCTTCCACCATCTTTGCTATCCTCTTTGAATAAAGCTATGACTTATGGGGAGGGGCATATCCCAGTTCAGAGGGACACTCCAGAGAAAGCCAGAAGGTGGGGCTGTTCACAGGATCAGTGTGACCCTTGTGGGCGCAAGAAGTCAGAGCATGTGGGAGCCATGGCAGAAATTGCCAGGGGAATGGACTGTTGATTCTGAAACAAGCCCTCTCCTCTCCTCTCCTCCCCTCCCCTCCCCTACTCTCTTCTCCCCTCTTCTTTTCTTCTTCTTTTCTCTTCTCTTCTCTTCTCTTCCCTCCTCTCTCCTCTCCTCTTTTTTCTTTTCTTTCCTCTCCTCTTTCCTCTCCTCTTTTTTTCTTTTCTTTTCTTTTCTTTTCTTTTCTTTTCTTTTCTTTTCTTTTCTTTTCTTTTCTTTCTGGCTTAGGACCAAGGCTAACACTAAACTAAATGGTTGGAGTGTTAGCCATAGGGTTAAAGTGTTTACGGGTTAGGTTTAGAGTTAGTGTGTTAGGGTTAAGGTTAGAAATATGGCTAGAATTAGGGCCTGCATGAGGTAAGTTAAGGTCAGGATTAAGGTTAGCATTCAGGTTAGGGTACACAGGGCTAGGGTAGGTGCTTGAATCAGGACTAGCATGTAGGGTGTTTGAGTGTCTGAAACTCCATTCTTAACTCTTGTCTGTAGATTAACGTGGACTTACTTTCCACCATCTTGCTTTACTGTATTATATGTTCTTCAGAGAAAGGCTGGGATAGGGTGGGCTACCCAGGGAAGGCAGGACCTCAGCCTTCCGGTGAGAACCCATTGATCGGGAAGCCACATAGGTTGTCAGTCCTGGGTACCTGGTTCTGGTTCCACAGTGGATACCCCTGAGGCAGCTGCTCCCTTCACAGCCCTTACCAAGTCCACCCCGAGCCAGTTAGTGTGATTCGTTCTGAGTACTTGTTAGGTCAAAGAAATTGTAAACACGGTGTCTAAAAGTGATACTTAAAAATCACCTGTTCCAGTGTGTTAAGGAAGGTAGGTGCTAGGCGTGGACACCAAACCTTAAACAACAGGAAATTATCTTTTATTCATTTTTAGCTTTTTTTTTTTTTATCAGAAAAGTGTTTGCCAGAGAGCGAGCAAGCACACCCCTCTATATAGCACGGTCATACTGCAGTCTGTTTTATTCCGTTTCTCTGTAGTGTCAGGAGATTGCGCACATTTGCCTGGCGTGTATTTCAGTCTGGGCTGAGGTTTGAACCTTGATTGGCCACGTGGGGTCTGGCTCCCTATGCACAGTGATTAATCAATGTTCTTATGGGACTGACCCAGGGTCCTTTCTGAATCAAGACTGAGCACAGGGTAAGATCATGAAATCCTGGAACTTTAAGGGACTTCGTAGACATTTGCTCCAGTCCCTACTAGAAGTCTTTGGTTACAAGTAACAGAAACTCTAGAACCTCAGTAGGAATAGGGCATGTATATTGGTGCAGGAAATGGAAAAGGGCCAGAGATGAGGGTTTCAGGCTCAACTGGATCCAGAGGTTCAAACGGTACTGCTGGCCTGGACTGCTTTTCTTCAGTGGCTTGGGGCTGCTTTCCTGTAGGTTTGCTTTCTCTCAATCATGTTCTGAGGGTGATGGTTTGGCAGCTCAGGTCCATACACCACCATGGCAAACCCTGGATGGAGCACAAGCCAGAGAATGGGACACCAGGGCCAGTGTGATGCATGGGTTTCTCCCCAGGTCATTTCCAAGGATTACAATCAGCTCTTTCTCCAAAGCCTTTACCAGTTAAGATATGTTTTGTATCTCTGCCACTGAAATGTCAGCTGCACAAGAGCAGGAAATCAGCTATGTGATCCCCAGTGCCCAGAACTAGGTGTGATAAGCTGCCAGCAAAAACTCTGTGAATGAGAAAGTAAACGAATGAAATGCCTGCCCCAGACAAGGATGGGGTTGATGCATGTGACTCACATGGATCAGGGGTCAGAGAAAGGAGATTCCCCAGGATCAAGATGGAATCCTGGGGACCAGCAGATGGTGTAATGGCTATGTCGCTGGACTCCCATGTAATTGACCGCAGTTCGAGTCCTGGACCCAGTGGGTTAAAACTTATGCTGAGTGCATGTGTGTGCATGCCCAAAATCCCAAGAGGAGAGTGGAGGAGAAGGGTTTGCAGCATGGCCATCCCCCCCCAGGGGGTGATTTCTCACTTTCTGTCTCTCTCTGGTGAGCGTACATGCCCTATAGCAGAAGTCTCTAAAAAAGAAAAAGGTGCAGTCCTGGAGGAAGGGGAAGTGGATAGTGGGCAGGTGACGCCTAGAGATACCACTGTTTTTGTCCAGCAGGTGAGGCAGAGCCAGAAGCCAGGGATCCCTTCCCCCAAAAACAGTCCAAGAAACAGACCCTGTCTCCAGCCCCTAGAATCCAGGGCACACACACAGGTAGGGGAAGTGCAAAAACAGAAAACCCCATTTGTCTCCATCAGAGCAAGGTGCATTTCAAAACCCAAAACCAAGCCATACTGTGAAGCAAGACCACATTTTTCATCCAGTAGATGCTGAGATGAGAGGTACAGATCTGGAAAATGTCTGTACAACACTTCTCAGTTCATGGCTGCGATCTGCAGATGAAGATTGATGTGGGGAGAGAGGGAGGGACCACAGGAGGAAGCAGAGATGAGGGAGGGAGGAGCCAGGAAGAAGACAGGCAGCCAATAGAAGTCCCTTCCACACCTGGGCCAGATTCCGTGGAGTCCTGAGACTGGATTTAAAACCAGAGGAGCCTTAAGCCACTTACTTTGCTTTGTAAGAAATTACCCTGGTGCTCATGCTCTAGCCAGTGGGCTGAGTTCCCCAGTTCACTCTAACAAGGCACTAGAGGCTACCTTTTCTGGCCTACGTGAAATTGTGGTGCCTGATGTGAATGCAGTAGTCTCATGTAGTGGGGCTCTTCCCTTGCACTAATTCTGAGGCTACAGGAGGGGGAGGACCAGAGCTGACATCTAAGCAGTACCTATCAGAATACAGTGAGATGTGCCAGATCCCTGCCTTGGGTCACAGCAAGCTTGGGGCCAGAGCAGAGGGTGCACCTTCAAGCCCCTTTGGGTTTCTCAGTGCATGGAGAGAACTTACTGACGACGAATTCATTTGCAGAGGAACCTGAGTGATTCGTGTCAGACTTTCTAGGGCTTGAGTGACTGATGTGTGAAGGTGAACATCACATGCCAGCCTTCTGCTTCTGGGCTTGCCGTTCATCAGCTCTCCAGAGCAGAGAGGCTTAGTCCCTCAGCCCGCCATGTTCACTCTGGACTTCTGCAGCAGCAGGGACTGGGCCTTACAGATGATAAAGTCTGTGATTGTTTTCAACTGGAAGGTTCCAGAGGACTTAAGGATGTTTGACCCTTGTGGGATAGAGAGGGTTGAACGGCAATCTATTGCTATGTGAGAAGAATCAGCTCTTCACAGCACTTGATCATGAGGGCTCTGGGAACCTCACAGTTAGAAATTTTATGGCAAACCAGTCAGCTCATGAGAAGAAAGAGATGAAGAGCTAGACAGTTGTTTTTCCTGTAAGAAGCTCAATTATAAAATTATCTACCCAAAATAACTATAAGTGTAAAACCTAAACATTACTGAGCAAATCAAGCTGCAGTGGACCAGCCCAGACCTCTTGGATCATGTTTTTTTTTTTTTTTTTTTTTTTCATTTGGAAGAGAGCACGTGCTCTTGCCAGAGAGAAACAAGGGGGAGGGGATAGGCAGTAAGAAAGCGTGTAGCTGTCTATTCCTTCTCCTTTTAGGATATGGTCATGTAGCTATCTATCCCTTCTCCTTTCAGGATTCTGGACACACACACACACACACATATGCCCAGCATGTTTTCTCAAGTGCTGGGTCTAGAACTCAAACTGTGCAGTCGCCATGTGGGATCCAGCTGCCTTAACCACCATACCACGGGCTGGCCCTTGGGTCAACGTTGAATGCCTGGCCAGCTATTGCCACTCCTGTGGGCTTTGGTGCTTTTCTTTCCCCACAATCCAAGTGTCCTGAAGCTGAGTTTTCCGTCCCTTGATACCCAGATCGTTAACTCCTACTCTTATTTTGATGGTGCTTGTTTGATGTTCCTTCCCCCTTCCTCCCTTGTTTTCAGCCTTTCAGTAAAATCTGACAGTGTGGAGCTGGGTTTTGCTTTGTTAGCTTGAAAACCTTTCCCTTAAGGAGTTGGTTCAGATTTATTAAGACAAATAATATGACTCATCTCAGGGGTGCCTCATTTTTTATATTTATTACATTATATATTTACATGTATTACATTTACATTTATTATAATCATATTTACTGTATTAGAACTACATATTATTTTTTTATCTATTATTATATTTCCTATGTATTTCAAGGTCTGTTGTCTTTACTCTCACAAAAAGTGCAATAGTCACTACTTTGGCTTTGAGGACATTGGTGTTTTTGTTCTAGAGAAATCTTCCCAGGACTCTCTGAGACCCTCTTTTTCTTGCTTGGCTTCCCCCCACTGTTGTTTCCAGCATCAATGGTCCTAGGACCCTCACTCTCCTAACTCCCCCCCATTAGTCCTCCCTTTCTCATTCCTTTGAAAAGTTGTGGTATTTCTATATATTGTCAGAGTAGATGACTGCACCTAACTTCTCCCCTCCTCATCCCCCTTTTGTTTCAGCCTTAGACTCATATGCTCAATTGTGGGGCCTCCTATGAGTCCTTTGGCTGAAAATTTCCAGCCATTCCTCCATGGTCACGGCTTCACTGGGTAATGGAGCAGATTGCTCAGGAATCTGAGTCCACCTTCCCCTGAGACAGACGCTCTTTGTCTAGAGTGGGCCCCTGCCTCCTGCCTCATTTCTCCCTCCCCTTTTCACCTCCTCTCTTCCTTGCCATCTTCCAGCTGTTGCTTTGA